TCCTTAATGTTACTACACTTACTTCCTCTATCTCTTTTAAATCCTTAGTTATTATTACTCCCAAGTATTTTAATTTGTTCTTAATTATTATTCCCATTTTGCTCTGTTCTATAAAATCTTTTTCTTCTTCTCTTGTATAATTAAGTAGCATCATTTCTGACTTGTTCCAATTAACTTGTAAACCTGTTGCTTTCCCAAATATCTCCAAATGTTCTTTTATTCTATCCATTTTCTCCACTATATTTTCTATAAATAACAATGTATCGTCAGCTGGGGTCTGTATTTTTGTACCATTTTATTTTCAGTTTCCTTTGTCAGTCATTTGTTCATGTAAAAAGGCAAGACCGCTGGTTTAATTTTGTAGCTAAAATGTCTTCCTTTTGGTATTTTATTTTTTAAAAAGTACCCTGGCCTGTATCAGAGTTCAAAAACCACAGACACATCAAATAAATGGTTGAGGTGTTATTGTTGGAGTTAGGGAAGTCTTTATGAAACTCAACACACATACTCCTTTTTCATTGTTTATTTTCTCAAAACAGAAAATACAACTGAAAAAAACAGCAACACACTAGAGTGCTTGAACACGAAATACCTGAGCAAAGACTGAAGGCAAAAACTGTTCATAATGACACCCAGAAGCATTTGAGCAAAGTAGAAATATAGGTCAACAGTATTTACAGACAACAGTGTACGATCAGTAGAGTGGCACTTTTCATAAATTACATCAATATTCTCTGAAACATATTAATGTGCAGTACAAAGAGCACACTAAGAAATACAAAAGATTGGAAAATTTACGCTCATCTCAAGTTGATTGAACAAGTCTTCTGAATACATGGAACTAAACCCCATATCGACCACATGACAAATTCCACATACTTCCTTAATTCACCCTAATAATAAACTTAATTATAGCAAACTTGCTTTCAAATGTGTAAAGAGGTGGGGAATTCTTTCAGCTGAAGGCAGAGAAACCTTTCAAAGGCTGCACACATCAGTATCAGGAAGAGCCAAAAGCTATTGATTATACAGATAGAGCAAATAAAGACCCTCCTGTAAGTAACCTGTAATTAGGACTCCATCATCCACATTCATACCAAACTTAGATTTTACAGTATATAAACTTGAAAGAATGTACAAAAACAATTATGCAAATCTCATGTTGCACACTGAGATTAGTTGCAACTCTTGTACACATCTAGATCAAACCAACATTGAAGATAAAAGCAAAGCCTAGTGCCCTGTGTCTGTGAAAAGACACCATTATGACGCCCTATTTTAAATAATCATATTCCCCAACCATATTTAAATATATTGACAGGGGACAGTAGAAGGAAGGAAAGGATAAAAAATACACTGAATCTTGCAGAAATTGAAAGTACTACTGCTTACCCATGTCCATCTTTAGTCTTGAAGCCAATGATTGTCTTTAATTAGTAGAAACATTAAAAACAAGCCACTTTTAATATACATATTACACACAACAGCATCACATTACAAATGTCTCCTTGAAGGTGAGTTTCTTACTCCTAAGGGTGATGTGTATAGGACAACTTTTCAAATGTTTCAAGAGTACTCCTTCCAGAAGCCGTCCTTGGTTTTCCTGGATATTCAGGTGTAAAGCTGAATATCTTATATTAATTCTCACTTATTTAAAAGAACTGGAATGTTATACACTTTGGCAAATAATGTTTTCTCGGTCATGGTCTCCCAATTATTCATTTTGGAAAAGAGAATGAGTATCAGACCAATTTGGTGGGATATTCACTAAAGTCAGTACTGATTTTTGGAGGGGAAGTCTGATTAAAAACATGTATTTTAATCAGTGTCCCATTCCCCCCCCCCCAAAAAAAAACCCTTTAGAAATCATTGGAAGATAAGATTTAAAAATATACTCCAATATGTACCCAGAATATACCTGTTTAAAAGGTTTATCTGGAAAAGGTAATGAATACAATTAAAAGTTAAACAGAGTATTTGGCACAGGTCCTGCTAATGATATGCCTTCTGGCTCAGAAAGTTCAATACTTCCATCTAGACACTTGAATACTTTTAGAGATTTTAAAGGCAGCTTTTACTGGTCTGCTGCTGAAATTACTGGGGTGGGAAACATCTGGTAGCTTCATTTGCACATCAAAGCACCTATGCCTATAATGAAGTGTTCATTCAGGCAGGTTGTATATTAAGAGTGTATGTTTCTCATTTTACTTAGAAATATCCCTAAACTACAAGCTTAACTAGTTGAAATCCTTGTTGTTTTTCAAAATTCAGTAACAGCATTGAGACATTAAGTCCCTTCAGCCTACTCATAAATTGCTACATAATTCATTTATTCTACTCAAAATAGGTTTGCAAAAATTCATTTTACACTATAGAATGCAAATGGAGGCTGTTAGTTTAAGGTGCACATTTTTTTCCCCACTGAAAAAATGATCAACCCCATATTGAGACCATTTTCAGCGTTGGCTTGGCACTGTAATATATACATCATAATCACATGTAGAATGTGATGAAGCAATAGTGCTTAATTCATTTTTGAAACTCCACAATGAAATTACTTAAGGGGAGCTAAGGTTCAGTTTTTCTAGAAATCAAGCACTTTTTGTCATGATCCCCATGACTGTTCTGAACTTTAAGGAAATACTTCCATAATGGTTTATAAGGTGGATGCATACACACACACCAATGAACATTG